TTGCAGAATGTCGAACTGAAGGAAAGGTAAATTTTATTCGAATAATAAATGTAGAATATATATTTGCATACAACTATGACAATCATACTACTGATGAATTCCCAAATTTTATTTTTTCTAACCGCATGTGCGCTTTAAAAAAACGAGCGGCATTACTTTAAAAATTAAAGTCATAAAGTCGTTTCCACATGTCATTTGCTTAATGGTAGACAATTTTTCGTCATTTTTGGCAAAGCTTATTGGAAATTATGCAAAATGGATTTAAATTTTTAATTTTTTTTGATATTTTTATTTCTTATTTAAGAAACCGATCTAAAAAGAGTTGACTTTCAACGAAATATTTTCATTCGCAGACATGTGTTTACACAACGTAAGTTTTTGTAATTAATAAGTACATTCCCCGAATTTCCTCTTAAGCAGATCATCAAAATCTCTACTTGCCAATGTGTTGGACATTGATGATGACTTTCGGTGCAATCATCGCTGCGCCAGCGCAACGTTGCCACATCAGCCGACCTACTATCGCGCCATGTATAGGTGAGTAGGCGAGGAGAATTAAGAAATTTTAATTTTAAGAATACGAAATCTATATATAAAAATCGATAGTAAAAAGTAGGCAGTGAATGGGAGACACAATTTTTACGAGTTATTGATTTGATATAGATTAATAATTCAATCATAATTGATGTTTGTATGTTGGAAATTTTATAGGCACTGTTATCGACACATTTATCGGTCGGTCTATTTTCGATAAACCTCGGCGACTTTTTTTTTGTTATGTCAATCACTATTGGTATCGATATATTTATAAGTAGAGAACGACCCTATAACGATTTTTAAGACCGCAGCTAATCGACCGAACTCCGGTCAATTTCGACCGAAGCCGAACCGAACGTTTTCAAGAGCTCAAGTAATTCAATCACATATGGTAGTACTTGTTTTTGTAAAAATGATAAAAAAATATACATACATATATATTTTTACATGTTCGGCCAAAGTTCGGCTTTTTGTGCGAAATCGAACCGCAACCGAACTGAACTTTTGTGTCACCACATAATCGATACTACTACATAAGCAATACTACGTTAGTTGTCCTCCCAGAAGCCTTGAGTCTTATTTTCTTATTGATAAAAATAAATCGGTAAGTTGTTTATCATACGATCTATACATAGCCTTTGCAACCCTTCGTACATTTCCATGCTATGCCAGGAATTGGTATATCCGTGGAAAGTAAGGCGTTTAGGAGACCATCTTTTTCTTATGAGAAATTTTTTTTTAATTATAATATGGCCACCGCTGCTACCGAACATTTTCTGTTAGGCCGACATCGCTCTGAAATACAGTTAAAATATGTTCGCATTACAGCATAAATTACTTAATTTCTTTTAAATTCGTTTCATACTTGGAAGTGGTTATTGCATACTTTTAGGCACTATGTTGTATGTAAGTTGTTGGAACAATAGTAGCAGATTTACATATCAATAGATTATCCTCATTTTTAAGCTAAACTCACTAATCTGTAATTAGAAAAAGAGATTAGCCATACAAAATTTGTCCCTAGTTAATCTGTAATTATGTGTAAAATAATCTCAGATTAGACCGATAACTTTTCAGTAGTTTTATCGATTATTTTTTCGAAGAGGAGGAGAAATGTCAAATGTAAAAGTAAACAATAATGAACGCTGGCAAAGAAAAGAGGTTTGTAAAGGTATTTTCTAATAAAGTATTGGGTTAAAATTTATCGATTTGTTTTTGTTTTTTTTATCAACGTTTCAGTTAAAGCTCGGTGGAAATAGGCTAATAGGCTTCCAAGAATTGTTACAACGATTAAAGAAATCTATGAAAATCATCTCCCGTTCATTCGAAATTTGGTTCACTGCTGTTTTGCTATGTACATTAGGGCGAATCGTCCTCCATGAAAAATGGGAACTGTTTTTCAAAGACTTATTCCAAAAAATTTCGAAAAAAACTTAAAATTTACATAAGCTGGACCGATTTTAAAATACCTTCGTAAATCTCATTATTTTGATTCCGTTGATAAAACTTCTAAGCCTTTTTAAGCTTAACCCTTAATCTAAGACGATTTTTCGAAATAATATTTTTAGAAGCTGGTTTTATTTGTATAAAATCACGATTTTCTTAATAGTCTTCCGAAATATTTAGGCGGACGCCTTAGATATAAAAAAAATGTATAATTTCGTTGGAAAAACAGTACCTATCTATTTTGTATGGAGAGTGATGCACCCTAATGTACAAACATAAGAAAATATGTAATATTACTTTAATTTGTCTCAATATTGTGAAAATTAAAAATGCATTCAATGTTAATTTATCGTAAATAAGGTATTGTAAAATGAATTATCAATTTCCCCTATATCCTTATCAGAATTCAAGAGTAGCTTTTGTGTGCATAAACATACATACATGCGTACCATGTAAGGTAAGCGTGCACAAAAGCAATCAATAGAAAAATTAATTTGCATATTCAAACATCAAGTCAATTCAGTGCAAGAATAAAAGCGAATTTCTGCATTGACACGCCCGCATCGATGGCAAACACCAATCGGCGTTTGATATGTGTCACTGTCACATTTTCCGTACACTTATTTGCATTTACATACATATGTACATCCATAAACAAACATTCACTTACATTCCCATGTCCCACATTGCAGGCAAGGCGATGATGGCAGCGTCGGCCCGGTGGGTCCTGTCGGCCCCGTTGGCCCCGTTGGCCCCGTCGGTGATGCGCGTATGCACGAGGCCATGTCACACACCTGCCTCAGTTCGTCGGCGGAATATGAATTGGCGCTTATCCTCAAAGAGCTGCGATGGATAACAGATCAGGTGAGCCGTTACAAATTGACAACAATCTTCCAGGCTTAAAGACACCGTAGCGCTTGTTGATGCAATGTGTCTGTGTGTGTGTGTGTGTGAGAGTGTAGCACCCGCCTGCAAAGGTATATCAAAAATTGTCAATAGTCTCAAAGCAGCAAGCAGTAGGCAACTAGCAAAACACAAACAAACAACAACACTTACAATCGATAGCAATTTTCCATTGACAGTCTATTGTTTTCGATTTTAATGATGTCATTCATAGGAATTAGGTTTGACGGCGCTTAGATGGTGATTTTGCATTGGCATGCGGGCGCCAAGGCATCCCCCCCACTCGATTGAAAAGCGTACTTTTCGCAAATATCTTTTTGTATACATGTGTATTTACACATACATATGTATGTACGTGTGGGTGTAACGGATCGAAGATGTCGCGCTTTGTTTGCTTTATCGCTGTGTCAAATCATGAATATTTCAGTTATTTCATTGCATCACTTTGAAGATATAATCCAGTTCGATGCGAAACAATGATTCTGTGCAAAAGTCTCAACACCTGTCACTAACGAATAAAGACGTATCTTGCTCTTATAGAGCATTTCTGCTAATTTGATGAAAGCACTTATATCGCGATTGAATTATTTTTCAATGAAGAGATTCAAATTAGACGTATGTACATTTTTTTACGTGCGGAAATTTTCTGTACAAAAATTATTAAGCATTAAATTCTGCTATTTGTTAACGAAGATTAAGAAATCATCCAGTTAATAATGAGCGCGATTTAGGTTTTTTTCTAAATTTTAAAAATCTTACCATTAAGAAAAATGTGTAAATCGATCTTTGACATAGTTTTTGACTTCAGAAATCTGGAACAAAAAAGGTTTAACCCTTTAATTCTCTCATTACATGTATGTTTGATATCTTTTGGAAAAGTTCATTAAAGCGGCATTTACAGGATTAAAATGTTATACAAAAATATTAAGCGGAGAATTTTGCTGCGAGTCACCGAATGAACAAATTTCGAATAATTCAATGTGAGTTTTTTGTCACTCGAAAAATCCCTACGCTTCTGTAAAATATTTTAACCCTCGACCCACCATTTTTGATAAGCTTTTCAAATAAAGACCAATAGCCTCATAATTGCAGGAGTTAAGAGCTAAAATTTTTACAAACATATTTTCCACTAAAGTTTGCTTTATTTTTCGAAAGACCAGATTTAAACGTGCGACAATCAATTCGACACACTCAAAAATCAAGAGAGAAGCATGATAATTTTTTTACCCTAAACTAGAAGGATGAAATTCGAGGATGTGGTAGTATGCTTATTAGTCTTTAACATATATTTTTTCCAAAAATAACTATTTTCGTCCTTTGTGTACCAGAAAACTGTATCTTTTTCAATACCACGAACATTTTTTAAATCATTTTTTTAATGAATCACATCACTGAAATTTCAGAGTCCTTTAAAAAAATCTGCAAAACAGAGAGGAAAAACTACATATTCAGTTTTACTATATTTATTTAGCATTGATTTTTTCGTATTTTGAAATTTTTTGGTTTTTGTTGTACAGTGTTATATTATAAAAAAAAATCGTTTAAAAGTAATTTTTTAATCTCGTATATAGACACCTAGTGAAATTTCTGGCTGAAAATGTTTGTAGAACAGTTAACCCTGCAACTGCAAATTTTAATGGACATACAATGAATTTCTTCAAAATAAGGTTAAAAGTGTCCGTTACGGTAGGACGGCAGAACACTTGTTAGACCGAAACAAAAATCGCTTGCTAAATTTTTATATAAATTCTGAATACAAGAATTGCTTATGTCAAGGCACAAAAATGGATGTTCCACATTGCAATCAATAAAATAACACGAATTTTCAAGTTAAAGAAAACATTATATAGTCAGCGAAAGCCGTTATAACTAGGGGTTGCTAAATACTATGAATTTATATGAATTTTATAATAAAAAGAAAAACAAACTATTCACCTCTGATATTTATTTTTTATACAATTAAAATTGAAAAGGTAAGACTTAAAACCCCGAAGAAAATTCGAAAAAAATTCAATACTCATTACTCATTAACAGTATAAAAAATTATCGGTTATTTATTTTGTGTACAAGAAAAAAATATCCACACTAGCTTCATTTTATTGTATTTCTAGTTGAAGAAAGAGGATGAAACGGGCGACGTAACGAGAGATTGGAAATTTGCGGCGATGGTAGTCGATCGCTTGTGCCTTATAATTTTCACGCTTTTTACAATAATTGCAACTTTGGCTGTACTCTTCTCCGCACCACATTTCATTGTAAGTACTCGAAAGGAAAAAAAATTAAAATATGTGCGTTTATATCATTTAAACACTTGTACATACATAGTGACTCAAATCCGCGAAAGGAAAATCAGTTAGGGCTTTTCTATATTAGGGTAACGTAAAACTCGGAAAAATTTTGAAAAATTCAATAAAATTTTCATTAAAATTTCGAGCTTTTTAAACTGAATTTTTTGACAAATTTTTGAGTGTGCAGCTGTATACCCCATAAAATTTTAGTAATAAAGTGTATGTTTGCAGCTTTTCGTGCAAAAGTGTAGTTTATTAAAACTTTTTTATTTTATTTTTTTTTTTTGCAAACGGGGTTAGGGTACGTACACACCACATAGAAAGCGGTGCCGAAGCGAGCAAGCAATGCGCAGAGAAGCGAGACTACGGATGTTCACACTCAACGAGGTGCAGCGAAGCTTCTTATTTGGAACCGACAGCAAAGATACCAAAAAATTTCACTTCAATGAAATTCCCAGATCAAAAATTTCAAAATTTTGTTAAAAATTTGTTGAATTTTTTCAACTTCTATATTAAGCTCGAAACTTTTATTTACGTGGTTTTAGTTATACTTGCACCATGAACAAATTTTTTTAAAAAATTCAAAAAAAATTTACTCGAAAAACTTTGTGAATATTTAAACAAAAATTAACATCTGAACGGTTATTAGAGTCACTGTATGTATGTATGTGCATTAGACCGCATCACTTTACAAGCAAACAAAAAAAAAATTCGTAGTACACCCCTGAACGTAAAGTATTAGTTTTGCAAGGGAAATTCAAAAAAAAAATTACCTTATTTGGTGCCACCTGAGTACATTCGTAAAAAAAAAAAAATAAATAGTTCTACTGTAATAATCAAAAAAAAATCCTTAGCAAAATTTTTATGAAATTTGGTGAGCTTTAATTTACTGGCATTAAGGTGGTACGTTGGGGTGGCAAGAACTGAGATCCAGTGGATAAGTACTAAAACGCGGTACTTCAGATCAATGAACTTTGACACTAAACAAATGTTCTCCTCAAGACAAAAACATCGACTGCAAAAATACTTTACGCTCAGTGCTGTATGACGAACTTTTTTTCTGATACGGTCTAATGTGCATACGAACAAATTAAATCCATATATGCCTTTACAAAATATCAAAACTCATTTCCTCTATTTCGTTAACAGTTCCCATAATTGATGTCAGCATTGCGGCAGCTTTTAAAAATCTGGACTCTACACAACAACAAATGTTTCAGACGCCAAATGAGAAAGTTTCACGTTTTTTTTTAAGAAAAGCTTTGTTATATATATATATTTTTTTTAGTCTAAATGCTAAAGAAAAACACTAGTTCGGCTTATATACTTTTAAAAAAATCAGCAATGCATGTATGTATGTACGTTAAGATACAAAAAAAAAAACAAAATGTGCCTCAGTCAACGAACGAACAAGTGTAATTTTATGCCAGAAATTGCAAAAAAAAAACAATTAATTTTTACACAATAGAAAACGCAATAAAATGGAAAATATGTAGGCAAATTCGCGCACATATTTACGTAAACTAAAAATTAAGGTCATTTGATTTTAAAATTAGTGAAATTCATATAAAAAATACTTTTGTTCCATTTCGCCGTATGCTGCATAGTTTGTTGTATGAATTCAATATGGTTAAGATAAAATGCAATAAATAAGTGAAATATATTTCGCTGTGATAAGACAAACTTCGGTGAAGAAGAAATTCATTTCAAAGGTAATTGTCAAAATGTTAGACATGCATACTTGCAAAATTTCAAAGCGCCAAATTATTTTTTTTTTTGATTTCTGATCAGCGTGGAACAAATTTAAAATCGATTTCATGAAAATTATTTGGTAATGAGCGAATTTGTTTAATGGTTTGTGACTATCTTGATAATATTAAAGGGCATTGTTATAGGTTGCACAGAAACTATAGGGCTCTCAGAAGTCGATCTGCTACGAAGATAAGATGGACAATCCACTTGTCGCGGCTAAAAGCATTCGGCGATTCGGGCGTTCAACAGACTACGAGCAACTTGCTACGGTCACACCACCCTCCTCTCCATAGCCCAATTTCGCTCTGGCTATTGCAGCGGGCAAAATTCATAACTGAGCAGAATAAATGAAGATGTGACCAACCAGTGCACGGCATGCGTAGAGTCGCCACTTAACTCACAGCACCTCTTCGCATGCCCCCCAAAACCCCACCCAGCTAACGCCCCTGTCCCTATGAACAGCTACTGTTGACGTTGCGCACTCCCTAGGCCTTCCCTTAGCTGAACCAGACGACAACGCAGATAGATGAGCCGACTCGAGTGGGGTTTGGTAGCCGCTACAACAACAACAACAGAATGAATGTTGAGTACAGTAGCTGGAAGTTAAATATTTTTCTAGACGCTGACGAAATCCTTATTTTCACGGATGGCTCCAAAGTGGACATACATAGGTAGGGATCTGGCGTCTTCCCTTGAGAACTACCTGTAGAGGGTACTAAACACTCTCAGATCACTGCTGCGTATTCCGGGCTGAGATGACATGTAATTGAAATATCGGCAAAGCTGGTAAGCATGATTTACCTAGCTACCTCTAAACTTGACTTCGTTGTTGACAGTCAATCTCTCATCAAAGCCTTGGGGTCGGCAACGACTAATTCGAAATGCGTTAAAGAATGTCGAAGATGCTTACAAGCTCTTCAACAACAACAAAATAATCATTCCGAGAAATGAGTAAGCGGACGAGTATGCTAGAAAGAGATCTGAAATAGTATTATTTAGGTGAAGCGGTCCAGATTATTAAACTTCCCCTGCGATTCCTGTCTTCCGCGAGTGACCATGGCAGGGATGTTAATTTTTTCCGGGATCCCAGAATTAGTCCCGGGATTTAGATATTCCTTACTTTTCAACAACTTAAATCAAAAAAATTGCTTCCATATTGTTTGAGAAGCTCTCCTGCCATAAAATAAATAATAAATAAATGGATTTGAAAGCTACTTTCTTTATTTAAAGTGGCATTTTTATTTTTTCTCTTTGGCCTTGTAATTTCAAAGATATGACTGATTTCAAAAATTATTTAAAAAATTCAATGCAATGTAGAATAAAAATATGGGTACCAAATGAAGGCGGAAATTTCTTTAGAATTAAAAAAAAAATTAAAAATTTTGGATTCAAAAGGACGAATAGGTAATTTTTTTAGCTGATAAAGTTAGAAAGACGACATTCGAGGATATTATCGAGTTTATATAAGTCCTTAACGTATAATTTTGCCAAAAATAAATATTGCGAAATTTCAAGGATAAAATTTCAAAAGGACATTTGCAATAACGAACCAGTATTTATGCACCAAACATTATATGCCAAGAGTCCCGGGATTTTAGGGACCTAACATTCCTACTGCACACCTACGCAGTACGGAGTTTGCTAACGCTCTCAAAGCCAAACGTTATGCTTCTCACAGTAAGACATTTCCTCTCTTGGGGTCCACTCGAATTTTTAGTACTAAGAAGACTGTTGTCGCCTTGCTATAGTGTGTAAGCTGGCTGGCGTTGTTGAGAAGAAAGATTACCTGCAGTGTTGTTCGATCCACAGGTACTTATGGCAGGGTTAGGCTCTTGAAGCACTTCCAAGTTTTGTCGTCCCCGACAAAAATCAAATTTCTTTGGTCCCTTGGAATCCTACGTCCTTTATTGCTCTTCCATATTTGCACAAGCAGTACAACAAATCAAAATTGCTAAAACAAAATTTAAATTAGTATGTCACTTCACTTAACTTTGAATAAATCCATTAGATTAAATTTTTGTCAAGCCGATTTTGAATTTTTCTGCATTCATAAAATTTACGATAAACACTAATATTTTACCGAATTCATGCTGTAAGGGGCGCATACTTATTGCGAGTTTTATTGACATAGAGAATGTGATAACAGAAAATCAAAGCAAAAGTAGAACATACATACATACACATATGAACATACATATGTATGTATGTATAAGACGATGTGAAGCTTGTTTAAGAAAACAAATAGTTTTAATAGAGTTAAACAAACGCAATAATCTAGATGAATGAGCGCTTACATAATATGATAGCTAAAATATTACACATACAGCGAAACTATCTTCAAACATACTTACATACATACATACATACATAACTATGTAGTACATATAACATGCTTCAAAACTAACTATTTAGCAGAGCTATGAATTTCACTGACATAAAAAATTAATAGCATAATAAAATTTGTAAAATAAAAAGCAAACACAAAAACAAAAAAAAAACCAAAAGAGAATATGTGAAGTGAAACGATAACAACATCTAAAAAATATTCTATTAACTTTCCCGAAATTTTCACGACTCTTACTCAAGCCGACAACACAAGTTGATATCTATCGTGTGAACAAAATGAAAATACTCGATAAAAACCAAATACATACATACATACATACATACTTAATATCGAAAAAGTATAAAGTTAACTATTTTATAAAGTAGCCAAAAAGTATAGAAATTGCAGGTATTACTTACAAACAAACACACAGACATCCACACATACCTACGTACTTACATATAAATAAAAGTAATACTCTACATTCTTACATACATAGGCAACAAAAGCATGAAACCGTACGAATAATCGGCAAAAAAAATTAAACTCGAAAAAAAGTATTTGAAAAAAATTTTTTTTCAAATCATAGTTATAAAAACTTATGATTATGATTGATACATTGAATTAGCTGTAAGTCGTTGAATTACATGCGTAGCCAATTGTAAATTACTAATGTTTTGATGCAATTTAAACAGCAAAAAGTTAACAAAATTCGTGCGTAGTTATATAGAATGTAAAACTATTAAATAAGTATTTCAAATACAATAACATATAGTGAGCAAAATTAATTGAAATAAAAAAATAATAATTTATTATAAACTAGTCTAGGTTGAGTTAAATATAAGAGAGATCAGCGGCACATTTGAAGCTAATCGGTATAATGCTTATATGTACATATATATGCTGAAAATATAAAAAAAAAAAACTGTGAAAAAACCTGATCAGCAAATTTACAAAATTCTTTAATAAAACTGTATTTTTTTTGTGCTGTTTTTTTTTTCTTTTTACTTGAAGATTTAATAGTGCGTTTCCACGAGCAACAAATCACAGCTGAAATTGTGATACGCTTCTAAAGTGGGTCATAGAAAGATCTGTGCGCCGAAATTGTTTACAAGTGGCAAATTCGAATGGAAATTCAAACTGCGACTAGAAGTGGCAATGAAAGCGCTTATCCTATGCAGTTTGCTATCAAAAACCGAAAGCGAAATTCTTTTCGCAGATTTGCAGTAATCACTTTCGGAAATAAAAGTTGCAGGGTGTAACTGCAATTGAAAGAACGCAAATCTCTTTCGAGAAATTATTTCAACTTTCGCTTTCGTGCTGCACTAGCAATTTTGATTTCTGCTAAGAGTATTGTCAAACCAGCCGAGTGTTGCCGTATGATACGGGAATTTTAATTCATTTATTCTTCAAAAATTAAGTATTTAAATATTAATGCATAGACATTTTGGGCTCATTTAAGCATTTTTAGTAAATTTTTCAGCGTTCCAAAGTCACTTTGCGTAAATGCTCCAGCAATCATTTTCAAAAATTCTTGAGTCGGAAAGACTTTTCAAAACCATCTGTTCTTGTTGCGTGTAACAGCTACTTTATAATCGGAACTGCGCAATTTGGGGTATGTGGAAACGTTGTTTAACCATGAGCTTACGCGATCGAGAACTTGCTTTCAATTTTATCACACACGCTTCATGTCAAAATTCATTAGAATTGACAAATCAGCTGTTTTGACTTGACGTTCAAGTTGCCACACGACTAGAAAGGAAAAATTCATATCGATTCAGTGTGAGTGTGTATTGCAACTTGAGAGCAGGTTCTTGATCGTGTAACATTCATGCAAGTTTAGCACTTTTTTTTGGAAATAAACCTTTGAATGTTTCGAAAGTCTCGGTTAAGTTGACGCTATTTTTAAGAGCTTTATCCTACGACTTCTCATTACCATTAAGTACTTTTTAAAACTATTTTTTATAACATTCACTTCAAATGAATACCAATCGCTTATAGTTTATACTCAAAGCATAAATTATTTTACACAAAAGAAAAAATATAAAAAGTGTTCATACACCCTATGAATTGGTACATACATATGTACATAATAACGTTTTGCTCAAATTGGAGGCTTTATGAATTTATAACATGACTCATATGATTTGCATGGTAAAATCGCTAAAAACTCGTTTAGCCTTAATAAAGTTCATGGCATACGACGATTCATTGAAATGGCAAAAATTCTTCTCATTTAAGGCCCAGTGGAAATCCAGTATTAGAATAAGAAAACGCTGTTGTAAATAGGCGAGGATATTTTAGGGGCACGATCTAAAGAGTATTTGTAGTCGGTTTTAAGGTTTTCGTATTCAGAGCTCCCATACATATCTACATACTATTTCAGCAAATATTAGCTGCATTTTTTTGTAACTGAGTGACAATACATTCGAATTTATAAGGAAATATCCAAGTTGAAATTCACGAGAAGGTCGAGAAATCGGAGATTTCGTATCACGAACAATTTTATGGACTTTAAACACTTCTTGGAGCGCAAAAAGTCAGAATACATACTTCTATAGTAGGTTTTCATAATTTAAACAAAGAACACTTTTGGTTTGGGAGCTAACCTCGACACCTGTCAAATTGCAACCCAAAGATTTCGAAATATGTAACAAAATGGCATGCAAGAATGGATTTGGTCTCAAAAAATTCGCAAAACAAAAAAGAATTAGAGAATTGTGAAATTTAAAAAATTTTTAATACAAAAACTTGTATGAATTTTACCTTTTTTATACACTGGTCTTAAAAGATCCCGAAATTTTGAAGGTGTTTTTTTGTTAGCATGAGTCTTTGAACTTTGAAAAAAAAT